AGCTAACATCCATGCTAATCCTCCTCTTTTTGCTGAGGAAGACCGGCTCTGAGCTAACATCTATTGCCAATCCTCCTCCTTTTTTCCCCAAAGCCCCAGTAGATAGTTGTATGTCATAGCTGCACATCCTTCTAGTTGCTGTGTATCTGAATTCTTCTAGGCAGTTAAGGGAGAGGTAACAAGAAAAACTTTCTGAGTCTGTTGTTTCTTAAAAATAATCATGCTAAAATAATTCTCATGTTAAAGAGACACATTTTGGGGTGGCAAATTTTGTTCTCCTTTGGCACACTTTATGATGTTTAGACAATGACAAAATCACCTAACAATGCATTTCTTAGAACGTATCCCCGTTATTAAGTGATGCATGACTCTATAATTTTTTTCTCTTAAAATATCTTTTTTTTTTCTTGGTATTAACTTCAGCCTCCTCCAGGTTTTATAGTTCCTCATGTTGGCAACTGATTTAGTTTGATGGAAGAAAAAAATCCTGTTAATCCTTGCTCTGTTTTTGACTTACATTCATCTTTCAATCTGGCAAGCAATTTTTGGTGAATAAGCATAATTAGAAAAAAAAAAGAACATCCAACTCTTATTATTTCTTTACAACCAAGAAGCAGACTCCAGATGTTCTTATTTTGGTTTTGACTGGTAGTATTGATGCTGACAAGTATTTTCCCATGAGTTAGTACAAAGTGGTCAGTTTAGTGGACTGTTGGAATAACCTCTTTGTGATCAGCTACTAGACTAAATAGGACTGAGGTCATTAAGTCAATGTACTACCAGCTTGGATTCTCTAACCCATGGCCCAAGAAAGCAAGAAGGGGAGAACAGTATGAAACAAGTAGTCATTTGCATAACATCTTTTAAACTAGAGTCAATTCCCCAGAATGCACATTTTGTTTAATAATTAAAGCCATACAGTGTTCCTTTGAGAGTGACCCAGTTAAGACTCTGTGTTCAGCTACTTGCCCAAAAATTCTAATCAAATAAAATATTTTATTGCTTATTTGGAAGCAGCATGCTATCAAGATAGCATACTTTATATTAGTCCACTTTTCTTTAAATTTAAAAACGAAAAAAATACTTGAAAACAGACTGTGGTTGATATAAGCCTCACGAAAAAGGATCACAGTGGAGCTTACCACATTAGAGGAGTCGGTTATCCATGATGGAAAACAGTATGTCACTATCTGATTTCACCATTTCCCATTGCTTTTGCTTGTAAATGCAGGTGGCAAATAATAAGACTTGTTGAATTGACAATGTTAGGTTACATCTTCCCACGTAAATAAAGGTCATTTCCTATAACCTTGACTTTAATGCTCCCCAAATACAGTTTTCCCCACCAGGCCCCAAGCACTGGATTAGAGCAGCACAGCTGCACTGGGAATACACGTACGTACTCGATGGCTGGTTTCTATTAAGAGAGAACTCAACCCCACAGAATTACCAGGGTGTCACTTGGATTTCCACACAGCATTGAGAATCCTATGCAGGCCAAAGGACACTTGACATGCAGGGTTAGTGAAAGTTGAACAGAATCTCAGATGATATTGAAAGTAACATTTATTTATTTGACACAGACTTTTTGATTTGTAAAATATGAAGAATTTCACAAGTTGGATCTCACAATTCCTGCCCTCCCACCCACACTGTTTACCTCGTTACCCCCAGCTGCTTAGAGCTTTCTTGCTGCAAGGATGGTATTTACTGTCTTGCTCTAACAAGGATGCTGGTAATTTTAAGTTTCTCTGGCTTTTAGCTTGTGATGTTTATATCCTGCTCTGTGTCTGTTTTCTTTTAGATTTTAGATTTCTGACAGCCCAAGAGGTCTTTATGGACTGTTGTTTTTCCCTCTTTGCTCCTCCTTTGGTAAAATGTAGAAAATAATATTCAAAGGCAGTACCTGGGAGCTTTGGGAAAGAAATAACCACAAATCTCCTAGGCAATTTAGATCTTTGGTTTCTGATGAGTCTTAACAAATGAGATATGCATCGTAATCCACATTAAGTTCAATAACCTTTTTTATTGCCTAAAAATTATAAGCCAAGTCAGTTCAGCTCTGACCATGATAAAAACCCAAATATCTTACTAAAATAAATACTAACCAGCAGTGTTGAGACCAGGGAAAAGCAAGTGAGGCACCGGCCATGGGTACAAAATTTAAGGAGGCATCAAAAAAAAAAAAGAAAACCACCTCAGTAATCAAGATAAATGATATTTTAATGCAATATTTTAAAAGAGAAAATCAATGCAAAAATTCATGATGAACAAAATATCAAAATTTTAAATAAGACAGGATCAATAACAGTGCCTTGCCAAGCCATGTTGGAGCCTTAGACAAAAGGAAAATCAGTAACATTGATCCTGTTTTTATCTAGAATTTTGATTTTTTATCATAGAATTTTTTGCATTAATTTTAATTTATTAAAATATTGTATTAGAATGTTATTTATCTTGATTACTGAGCTTTTCGGCACCCCCTTACATTTTGCACCCAAGACACGTGCCCCATATCACCTCACCCTAGTCCAGGCCCTGCTAACCAGAACGTCAGTGGTTAAGGTACTAAGAAGGCATATCCCTTCCTTTAAAAATGTTAATTAGGGGCAAAAATATGCATAGTTACGTTTAAGTCTAGTTACCATCACTGGGCAACCAACATCCATAATTTTGGTCCTGGTTTGGCTGTAGTCTCAATTAAAAGGTATTTTCCAAATCCAAAAAATGGAAAAGTTCTCTTCTTGTTAATTCTATCTGAAGACATCATATTATCAAAATCTATTACATTAACAAAAAAAGCTTGCTTAGAAAATCTCATCTAGTTCAACTCCTCAAACAGTTCTCCTTCCACGGCAGTTTCCCCTGGCTCTTTCTCTGTTGGTCTTGGTGGGAGAAGGCCTGTGGGGTTTCTTACGGTATTCTACTTTGGTCCATCCTCCTTCGCTGCCTTTGCTCTCCTCTTCACTAGCTCTTGAGTTAGTCTCAGTGTGCAAAGGCATCCCTGGTATGGTCCTGGGTTGATGGTGGTCATTTGGGCTTCTCTTGAAGTCAGGTGACTGGTGAGTATTGAGTGCTGACTGAGAAACCCTGTAGAATTTTCCAGAATATCTTTCTCTCGAAGGAGTGCAATGCTGACTTTTTCCACTGTATCTTCCTCTAGGAGAAGAATTGAGTGATACACTACCACGACCGTATTTGTCCCTGCTTCTACCTGAGTATCGACCCCTCTCTGAAGAGTTGTCAGTAGTGAGACTAGAAAAGCCACTGTCCTTGGAGTTGAGATGTAGAGAAGAGAAGTTTTTGGTCAGTCCATACTGAGTAGGAGAGGAGCTTCTGGATTGGTTTATAGGTGTAATCTGTTGATACTTAATGGGCACCTGGGTCCGCCTCACAGCAGCAGCATAGGAATCCTGGTTATTGAAGTATGGGAAGAATTGTGCCCCCAGAATAGGATTGCTCTGGGAGCGCTGTAAAGAAGTGTTGGATGCAATCTGCCGCATCCTCAGAGTATCTAACCACTGGCAATCAGCACCTGCAGAAGAAATGGAAATGAGCATCTTTTAAGCCACAGTAAAGCTGCATGTCTAATTCATAAGACTGTCTCAGGATAATTCAAGCCTGTTTGGGATGCTCTAAGCTTTCCCATTCACAGAAATTCCAGCCTAGGTATAAGGACATTTCCTTTATTATTATAAACACTTTTTTAAAAATAAGGGCATTTGCACTTACTGAGTATATGCTATATGCTTGGCATTGTCCCATAGGGTTTACTTACATTATCTCATTTATTCCTCCCAATAATTTTCTCAGTTAAATACTAATAATCTGATTCTATAAATGAGCAGACTGAAGCTTGGGAGGTCAAGTAACTTGCCTAGGTTAGTTAGGTCACTTGGCTAATAATCCCAGGTCCTTCTGCATCTTAATCCCATCTTCTTCCCACTTAGCTATATTGTCACTTCTAGAAATTGCTGTTTAAGTGTGTTTGGATGGCAGGGGCATATTTAATAAACAAAAGTCTTTTCGTGAACCAGCACTTTTAAATCCTCAAGATCTCTAAATTCAGATAAAAGAAATTGGGTTCTAATGGCTGAGACAGCTAGAGATTGTTTGGAAGAAAGATAGTTTATATCTCCAGAGGAGAGAGATTCCTGAGGTTCAGGAATAAGAAATGTTTTCTGCCATGAAAAATGAAGCTTCATGGCAAAAAGGAAGAAGTTAAGGTAAAAGAAAATGGTAAATTAACAAGAATTATTTAGTAAACTATATTTCAGTGAATAAGCAAATTACTCACACCTAGGATCTTTGCTGTCTTCCCCAGGCCTGAACTATGTTGCCTACATTCTAGTTCCCTGGTGGTCCTCTCCGAGCTACTCTGGCCCTACTTGTCAGATGGAGCTTCTGGAGAGGAACAGAGTATGCTCGCTTCTCTGTGCCAGCGAGCAGCCTCCCTCACTGCTCTGCATAGGTGAGCCACATCTTTGAGGTGAATGACTTTTCCAGATACAGATGACCTCTTGTGTCCAGACACTCTTCACAGTCTTCATTCAACCACAATGCCATCTTTCCTTCACCTTGACTTCTCTGAAATTTTAGCTTCCAACAGAGCCTGATTTTGTTGGGTGTCCAACCCCCTCCATGGAGCCATGTGCAATGGGGGAAGAGGACCACATTCTGGCTCTAGGGGAAGACTGATTAGTCCAAGCTGGACGTAGTGATGTCAGGATTAGGAATGGGCAAGTTGCTAGGTTATGGCCAAAGCAACCTGAGGGGTAGTCTGCTGGGGGTTTCTAGGCAAGTCTTTCTCACTCCTAAACATGAGAAGAGGGAGGGGACTGACCTCCTATTTCTTCTGCTCATTGCCATATCTTTATGTGATGACTGGGAGCATGGAGGAGCTAGGCTGAGGGCAAAGGAAAGAAGGGTTCATTCCTTGTCCTTAATGTGGTTAAATTGGCTTATCTTACTGCACCTGGGGCCTGGCCTGACTCTGGACTTCTTGTTTTGGAAGATAATAAATTTTATTGTAGTTAAAACCTGTGGTTTAAGAACTTTAGAATGCCTGTGAATCATCTGGAGGGCTTACTAAAATGCAGATTGCTTGCCCCTACCCCCAGTTTCTGATTCAGCAGGTCTGGGGTTGGGCTTGAGAATCTGCATTTCTATCAGGTTTCCAGGTGGTCCTGAGGCTGCTGGTCCTGAGACCACACTTTGGTCCATTGGGAGGAAGCCAGTTGAAGTTGGATTTCCTGTTACTTGCAGCTGAAAAATATATCCTAACTGATCTAGGTGGTATCCTCTGAGCTTTCACATCAAAAGGGAAAAAGAAATACAAGGAGGAAAGAAGGGAGGCAAACTAGCTAAAACTGGAGTAAGCCAAAGGGAGGTCAATTCCTCCTTCTATCCTGCAACCTCTCCAGTTAAAGTCAACCTTCCAGAGGGGAAGGTTTATCCAGAGCCATTCTAGTGGGAGATGGAAGGGTACTGACTATTCCTGTGTACACTCTCAGAGAAAGAGAAAATAATTTGTTTTCTCCCCAAATATTTAGATTTAAGAGAAGTAGAGGACACTTATTAGATGTCTGCCCATTGCCCTCTTTTGGGAAAGTCTACCCTGTCTCCACCCATATAGTTACATGATGCCGCATAGTATGTCCTCACCACCCACCCCACCCCATGGGTACTGCCACCCACCACCACCTCCCCCTGTTGATACAGTTAATTGGCCTAGAGGAGAATGCTTGAAAAAAATAGCACCAATAAGTCTTACCCTAGGGAGTCTGGAATTGGGACTGATAATGTATCTACATATTTGATGATTCTCAAAGTGGTGGGATTTGGACTATATAAAACTTGGAAGTGGTTGGCAGCTATTTTGTGTCGTGTGCATTGGGAAACAGAAAACTAGCTTTTATTGTGACAGGAATGGACCTTGGGGGTATTATGCTAAGCGAAGTAAGTCAGAGGGAGAAAGCCAAATACTATATGATTTCACTCATATGTGGAAGATAAAACAATGACAACAAACACATAGATTGGACAACAGATTGGTGGTTACCAGAGGGGAAGGGGACAGGGGAAAGGGAGAAAGGGGACATGTGTACGGTGACAGACGGCAACTAGAATTTTGATGGTAAACACAATGTAGTCTATGCAGAAGTTGAAATATAATGATGTATACCTGAAATTTATATAATGTTATAAACCAATATTACATCAATAAAAATAAACAAAAGCAGAAAAAAAAGAAAGAAAACCAGCTTTTAGTAAAAGAGAAAAATACAGCAGAAGTGGAGAGAGAAGACCCCCACAGATTTCACAAGGGTGTTGTAGGGATCAAGTGGCATCATGGCAGTGAAAGCCCCACAGAAGTAAGGTGTGCCCTATAAATATTAATTATTTGGGAGAGGAAAAATTATTATAGTGAGAAGTTCTTAAAGGCATGATAGTAGGCACGCAAGACAAGATTGTTGAATTAGCAAATAAAAGAACTTAAGAAATAGAGTGCCTTCTGAGACGGAAGCTAGCAAGAATCAACACCTATTATAAGGGTTAGTCCTGTGTAGAAACAGCATGCCCAAGAGATGTTTGAAAATGTGTTTGTGGCTGAGAAGACATGGCAAAAACTCAAGCCCAATCTTGCTGGTCAGAATGTCTTGCTGTGATTGTTAAAGAAAATAGCCGAATCAACTGTTGACAAAGGAAGGCAGGTCCAGCATGCTCTCAAAGAATTTGTTGGTGAGTTTTAAGGATCGCTCAGGATTCTGGGCCTCCTGGCTGGTGGACATTTAAAAATATCTGGTCTGCTTGACAAGCCAGTCCTCACAGTGGAGGACATCTAAGCTACTCTTATAATTCAGTGACACTAGCCATTAGGGTACTTTGTTTCCAAGCCACCAAGCCACTGATATGGCTTCTCAAGGTATATTTTATTGGGAAAGAAAATGCACTGACCAGAAAGCACATAGTTTCTGGTTTGTTTGGCAGGTATATTTCTCATGGTAAAAAGTGAATTGCATGGGGTTTATGCATCCATCTCCCATGTGTTTGTTAGCTTGTCGCAGTCCCGCAGAGCCTAACTGTGGGTTGTATTAGAGTGGAACTATGAAGGTGACAGTCAGAACCCTTCCCTGAAGCTACCAAATAATGACCAATTTAACAGTAAGTCAGCCGGCCATCCTCTATGTTATTTCTAAATTGTTTCTGTACATCATCTGTAATTACTATCACCACTATCCATCATATGCTTTTCATGTTTTCTCTTTTTCTACCCTCCCTTCTTTCCTCTGTTGTTCCCTCCCTCCCTTCCTCTGTCATTCCCATGCTTTGATGTATCCATCAGGACCCAAGAAGTTGCCCCAGTGTAGCAGTGGTATCATAGGAATGTTTGCTGGACACAGAAGAAGTTTCATATCTTTATCCTCAATTTTGGAAATTGAGTATAAATGTGTATAAATATACATACATATTTTTATCTACCAATATAACGTAATCATTAATTTTCAACTATTGTTCTAGTTATCCAAATATTGAAATTTATTATAATATGCTCATATTTATAAGTCCATAAATACTACTTTCCATATAATCTGTTTATAAAACCAATATTCTAAAAATAAAAGGAAGTAGTCTATTAGAAATCTATGTCTATTCCCAGACTGGCACTCATCCCTGGTATGAGAATTCTTGGCATCTAGTCTGGCGCACACCTAACTTACTTGAGTCAGACCTGCTCCGAGGGTTGCCCTCTGAGTTGAGGAACAGTGTCTGAATGGCGAGCTGGACAGCCTTCACCTCATCCTGGGGTTTTGTACTGCTCCACTGAATTGAGTGGACATGTTTAGTGCTTTTTGGAGCTCTAACATCGCTCTGTAAAAAAAAAAAGACAAACCCACAACCAAACGTACACATGTTTACAAAATAGGAAGAAAGAAAATTAGGTTTTCATGTCACTTCAATTTAACTCCTGAGAACATTATCACACTGCATTAGGTAACATATTTGTTCAGTTTGCCTAAATATGGTAATTTGATTAAAAGGAAAATTTTAACACTTTATTCCTTAGTGGATTATAGTGGTTAAAAATGTAGTTGTCTTGTCCCAGAGTTTATTGTATTTGGCAAATATCAGCTTACCTCTTGTTTAAAAAGAAATGAAAAACAATTTCTTCTGTTTATAGTACTTAAAAACAAGTATTTTGCTGAATAAATAAAAATCTGACCACTATTTTGCCCAAGACTGCCTCTGGCCATCAGGGTAACTGGGTGAGTGTGGGTAGCTTGGTGGGACTAATTACCCCCATGGAGGGTGCAGAGTAACAGATGCCAAAGTGAGACGGGACAGAGCGTTAAGAATAAGGATTAGAGAAAGGAGAGGGCACCAGATCAAGAGACACCACTTTCTTGTCCTGAAACCCCCTCATCACCAGGTATTACAAACCAGATTAGATTAAAGAGCCTTTCAGGATTCAATAAGGATATTAAAATATGTTTAAAAACCGGCCCCGTGGCTTAGCGGTTAAGTGCGCGCGCTCCACTACTGGCGGCCTGGGTTCGGATTCCGGGCGCGCACCGACGCACCGCTTCTCTGGCCATGCTGAGGCCGCATCCCACATACAGCAACTAGAAGGACGTGCAACTATGACATACAACTATCTACTGGGGCTTTGGGGGAAAAAAAAGGAGGAGGATTGGCAATAGTTGTTAGCTCAGAGCCGGTCTTCCTCAGCAAAAAGAGGAGGATTAGCATGGATGTTAGCTCAGGGCTGATCTTCCTCACACACACACAAAAAATGTTTAAAGAGCCCTGAAGTGACTGTTACAGACACAAGTAGTGTATCATCACAGAGCCTGAGAAGGCACCTCCTCTCAGAGAGAGAGGAAATGGAGGAAGAGGAAGAGGAGAGAGAAGAAGAAGAAAAGAATTTGGGGTGGTGCGTCTCCAGAACTAAGGCAGCTAGAGATGAAATCTGGCTGTTATAACCGTCCAGTTACTAGAAAGAGGGCTTTTCCTGGGTAGTGGGCACTGGTCGACAGGCTCCAGCATAGTCTAGAATCTGAGTTCCTCAAGACCCATCGACTTCTTTTATTTAGGTTTTGTGCCCTGTAAGCAACACTTTGACAACTAATGCTGTTTCTCAGCTGCCTCACCCTGACAAGCTGTGCACCTTGGCTGGTGAGGATAAATAACTGCAGTTAACACTCATTGGCTTCCAGCATGGGGTCATCCTGGACAAGTGGACTGGCCAGGGTATGGATTTCTCATGCTGAAAAGCCAAACCCTGGCAGCTCGGAAGACCATCCTGGTGCCACAGTGCATGAAGTCCAACTCAAGACCGACTTCTCTCATCTTACTGCTGGGAAGGGAACAGATAGGACAGCCGAGGAAGAGTGGAAACTGTATTTACAGTCAGAGGACCTGGGGTGACTCCACCGAGTCTGTCACTGACTACCCCAAACCCCGAGACTTCCTTTCATCTCTGAGTCCATTTTCCTTAGCTGCCAAATGAAGATAATGCCCCCGATCTTTCAGTATTTATTCAAGGTTAATGAGATAAAATAGGTGTAAGCTCCTCTTATAGTCATAGGTCATGGTAAATCCTTACTAAATGTTTCTGGAACGAATAACTGAATGAATGAATGAAATGCATGTCCTATTAATGGTAGATGCACCCTCATATCTCTATGTGTGCCAAGACTCTGTGCTGTAGGTCTTCTCCTCCACCCCATTCCCATAGGGTTCTCTACCTTGTAAGGAGCAATCTGTTTCACCAGCCATGAAGATCTTGCTGATTGACAATTAATGCTATTAGATTAATTATATTAATTAGATTATTTTAAGCAGTAGACTGCGTAAAACACCCCATTGGCTTCCCATTGTGCTTACAGTAAATCCAGACTCCTCACAGTGGCCATGAGGCTCTCTGATCGGGTCCCGCCACCTCTCTAGCCTTGTCCTAGTCATTGTCCTCTGTGCCTCAGGGACTTGCACTTGCCTTTCTTCTGCGTTTCTTGCTGCCTCCTCCTCACAGGAGAGGCCCACCCTGACCAGCCAATCTAATGCCCCAGTCACACTATTTTCTGGTTACCACTTATCACTCTTTGACATTACTTATTTGTCACCTATTAGTTATCTGTCTCCCTCCATTAGAATATAAGCCTCAAGAGGGTATAGATTTAATCTATCCTAATCACAGAATAGTTCCTGTCAGTAGGTATTTGCTAAATGAATGAATTTTAATTTTAATAGTACATTTTTGTTAAGTATAAGTTTAGCTCTGTTTTGGTCACTGTTTGGTATCCCCAGTACCTAACACATTATGTGGCATGCAGAAGATGCTTCAATCACTGACTGATGAATAAATGATTTACTACCTCGGTCTTTATCTAGGTAAGGGTCTCCTATTCTCTTTCCTTCTCAGCACTTTGTTAGAGTAATTATTATAACTGATCTTCCCATATTCATGTTGGTTAAGTAGTTTCTCTTCCAATAATTTTTTTTGTGTGTGAGGAAGATCAGCCCTGAGCTAACATCCGTGCTAATCCTCCTCTTTTTTTGCTGAGGAAGACCGGCTCTGAGCTAACATCTATTGCCAATCCTCCTCCTTTTTTTTTTTCCCCCAAAGCCCCAGTAGATAATTGTACGTCATAGTTGCACATCCTTCTAGTTGCTGTATGTGGGGCGCGGCCTCAGCGTGGCTGGAGAAGCGGTGCGTTGGTGCGTGCCCGGGATCTGAACCCCGGGCCGCCAGTAGCAGAGCGCGCGCACTTAACCGCTAAGCCACGGGGCCAGCCCCTCTTCCAATAATTTTTAAGCAAATATATCCGTATTGAGAAACTGATGATGAAGCCATCAGCTCCCGTCCCCAGCCCCAGTTTACCTCATATGTGACAGTGCATTCCACAGTCTGATCTTCCATTATTCCTACCATCCACCTCTCCATTACAAATGGGGGCTGAAAAACAAAAGTTAGGATGGTGTAGTGCCATAACACAGCCTGCCCTGCTACAGCGTAAGATTCTTTGAGGCCAGTGCCCCATACACAAGTGGCAAATAGGGCATGATGTCGGATTATCATGAAAGATTATCATTACATGCTGGTTCATATGTGATTACTCACAACATGCTGATGCTGGGGGTTTTGGTTTTCATAGGGCATCCTTTCATATATTTGTAAACAGCTAGCTTTGGTCTCCCACAATCTTCTCTTTTCTCATTTATCACTCAATCCTATCATTAATTCATGCTAATATTTTGAAGCATCAGCAGAAAGCTTGCTCACAATTAAGAGAAAGTTTTAACAATATAAGAATACCCAGAAGAGCCTTTCTTGAGTGCGAGCAGTGGTTGGCTGGTGGCTTCAACAATCACTCTGCTTTCCACTATATAGGGCTATCCGGCAAAGCTGTGTGTGCAAATGAAACTGGGGTGACATTTCTCTACTATATTAAAACAAAGGATTAATGAAGAAGCCTATGCCTTGGATCCTATTTTAATTTTGATTAAAATGGTGTTTATTAGAAGTGATACTCCACTCTCTTCCCCCACCTCACCCGTTCATTCCAGGTTTAAGGCTGTAAATGACTGACTGGCCATGAGATGGGTACAAAGAAAATGTGGTAGAGATTTAACTGGGCTCTTTTTTATTTTACATTAGGACTGTTATTGTTTCTGTTGATGCTAAAAAGTTCTACAGATTTTGAATGATCTGCCCCAACCCTATTTTTCTTATAAGCCCTGTTAATGTTGGTACGTGATTTTGCAGAAGATGTGGTTCCTGGGGAATGCATATATGGCATTATAGCAGAAACACCTGTATTCGGTTTTACAACGCCACTCTGTTATTTTTGCTGTGAGCAGCTTCCTTCTGTTAGCAGGCAATGACTTGGATCTTGCTTCTAAATGACACTGAAGCAATGAATAACTGCAACCCACAACGGCACAGGTGGAGAGGAAAGGGAAAGTATCTGTCCAGTCTTCAAGACATCAAAACATATGTCCCAACAAAATAAGGGAAAGTTCAAACCAGATCATAACCATTACAGATAAATAACACCACTGAAATAACTCCCAGCTACTCAGGGGAATCCAACAATGAATATCAAATCTATCTACTTGATGAATACACTTGTAAATTAAAAGGACTTGGGTGTTTAGCAATCTTACGCCTGGGAAGGGAACACATTTGCAAGTCTAATGCTGTGGCTTTGAAGACTCTTTTCACTTCCCCACTTGTGTTTGTCCCCTGGTTCTTCTTTGCTACCAGCCCCATTTTCTTCACTGAACACAAACACACAGTTAACAGTGTACTAGAGTTAATGGCTTATGTGAAGTTTAGGTGACTGTCCTATTCACTCATGGGTATTTACCTGAGTTGTTCACCTTCTACAATTGAATCTCATTTGTGTTTTTTCAGTATGATTGGGACAGAATTGAATTTTTTTTCCATTTTAAGGAGAAGCTAAGCATTTCTCTAAGTCTTTCTTCGGTGTTTTAGTGGGCATGCTTCTACCATTGACCCTAAAGTAGTAACATGCTCTCCAGCCACTCCAGGAATTCATAAAGTGTGAACTCAAGGAAGCCATCAAGACTTCAACATGTGCCTCATGAATAGCCTCTTCTCAGTCCTTCAAGAAATTGAACACAACCAAGAAAGACTTCCTCCTTACAAGTTTTTCAAAGTTTAACATGACCCAAAATTCAAATTTCTTTTAATAAATGACAGAATAAGCATAAAAGAAATGTAGAAGAAAAAAAAAATTAAATGACACTTTTCTGTAGTACTTTTTAGCTCACACAGCATAAGTGGAATTTTAACAAAAAACTATTATGATCTCAACTGCTAAATAAAATGTACCTTCCAACAGCCAGCTTGAGGTGAGCATCGACAAACACAAAAGCACACTGCTGCGGTATTTTAATGTCTTTGTTTGATATCTGTGCATTCAAAAAAGCTTTTAAGCCATAAATAGAACCCTACCTTTGTCATCTTTAAAATCTCTGCATCAGGTAGGTTAGTGTTGAATGTTACATCTTTGATGTACGTTATTGCAATTTCATCCCCATCCATCTCCATATACATTTTCCACTTACAATCCTGGAATTAAAAGCAAAATTACAGAATTTGAGAAAGTGAAACAAATTTTTTTAGTCTCAATGTTTTATAACACATGAAGTGTTATTGGAGTGGGTTTTTTTTTTTTCCTTTTTGAATAAAAGGACATGAAATTAGATCTCTTTATGTATCTAAATAATTCCCAGTTAGTGCAGTCTTGAGACATAATTTATCAGTTTAAGTGTTCTATTATAGGAGTTACAAACTCAAAATTCTAAAGGGGCCAGGCAATAAAGCCAGGCAGTTTCATTACAGAGCCTTAAATTGTAATCTTTCAAAATAGACCCATTTAATTTACATATTAAACATTGTAGAAAGATTTTTTCATTGACACAAAGAAATGTGGTCTTCCCACTTTTTTTGAAATATAAGGCCTTCTTGACCTACCTTTCACTTTTCCAGTATTGATAATGACATGGGTTCAAATAATAGCTCACTTTCCTCTTAACAGGAAGGAAAACACCACTGCAAATGTGGTGATGTATGGCAATTGATAATTGGCCTAAGTACTGGGGAGTTATGGGGAGAGTTAGGGACTCTGGGGATCTAAAGGGTAACTGCCCTAAAGGGACAGTCACCACTCAGCTTCTGTTGATTGTACCCATGTGGGAATATGAGCCCAGTTTTGCTAGGTCCTTTAATATCTCATGAAAAGCTGGATATCTGGATTCTTACGTGAAACCTCTTGATTTTTTAAATAATGGTATGCTAATTAAATTTTCAGTGAAACCACCATATAATGAAAAAGTTCTCTACACCATTAGTCACCAGGGGGATGTAAATTAAAACCAAAATGAGATACCACTCTACGCCACCAGATGGCTAAGACTGATAACATCAAATGTTGGCCAGGATTTGGAGCTACTGGATTGTTGGTGGGAGTGTAAATGGTACACTCACTCTGGGAAAAGTTTTGGCAATTTATCATACAACTAAACATACACCTATTCCTAGGTATTTACCCTAGAGAAATGAAAAAAGACTTGTACAGAAATGTTCTTAGCAGCTTTATCATATTAGCCAAAAAACTGGAAATAGGCCAAGTGTTTATCAACAGGAGAATGAAAGAACTGTGGTGCATTCATAGAATGTAATGTTACTCAGCACTACAAAGGAAAAAATTACTGATGCATGCAACAACATGGATAAAATCTCACAAAAAAGAACAATCTAAGGATTCCATTTATATGATATTCTAGAACAGACAAAACTAATCAATGGTGGAAAAAATTCAGAAGAGTGGTTGCTTCTGCAGATGGGGACTGACTGGGAAGGGGCACGAAGGGACTTTTTAGGGGTGCTAATGTTCTCTTGGTAGGGGTTTGGGTGACACAGGTGTATGCATTTGTCAAAACTCAGCGAATGTATACTTAAGATGTGTGCATTTCTTACTGAACTGTAACATACTAAAGAATTTAGGAGGAAGTGTACTGATGTCTGCAAATTACTTTGAATTACCTAAAAAAATAGGGATTGATAGATGGCTAATGGGATAGATAGATGGATAGATATATGATAAGGCAAGGAGAGTAAAATATTAATGGTTGAATCCAGGAGGTGGATATACGAGGGTTCACTCTAAAATTTTTTAACTTTGCTGTATGAAAAATTTAATAATAAAAATCTTGAGGGATAAACACTGTGTATGTAACTAAAAGGAAAAAGAAACTCATGTCTTTGTACCAAATTTGACCCTTGGACCATAAATTCACCTTCTCTCTTATATAATTTGAAGAATGAAGGATGCTGAGAGATGAACGTACTGAGCACCTTACATGCTGAAACTAGAAAATGCTGTCATAGGAGCGGACCAGGAATGTTTCCTGAGCAGGCTCAGACAAAATTATGGAGGAGCACTAACAAAGAGGCTGTTGAAAACCTGTTGGCTTCAGCGGGAAGCTGGGGGAGCCTGATGTTTTAGGAACGCTTCTAGAGGAACTGCAGAACCCAGCAGGGCCCATGCCTGAGGGGAGTGACCCTCTTTGCCCAGCCGCATTCACAAGATGGAGAGCTAATTAGTGAGGAAAAGGTCTATTCAATAATGTGAAAACCTAGCTCTTGGCTCACATAAGTCAAATTAGTCGCTCAGAATTGACAAATCTCTCAGTATTTCTTTGTTTGGGAGCCACTGCTACCCTGGCAACGTGGGCCCTGAGATAACTGGGCAGGATAATGACTGTTTGGAGTCATGATTGCTCTTCTCTGAAATTGCAAGAGCCTTTTCAAAGCAATGACTGGAAGAAAAAGCCTTAGAAAAGACAAGTTTACTTAGCTCTGTTTTTTGGCCTGTCCAGTTTTGGAATTAAGTTAGTCAAAAGCACAGTTAAAAGACCTTGAGCTGTGTGCAAATGCCTGATTCCCTATGCTTTGCTCTCCCATCTCGCTACCCCAGTTTTCCTCCATGACCCGAATCAGACCCTCCTGCGTGCATGCTCAGAGGAGCCTTATGCTGAGAAGGGGCTGCAGGAGGGAATTCACACCTGTGGAGCGCTTACTGTGCTCTAGGCACGGTGCTGGGTACTTACACTGTGCTATTTTACTTGATTTCCACAATAACCATGCAAGTTACATTTATTTTCCCATTAGGTGAATGAGAAAAATGAGGCTCAGAGAGATTAAGGAATTTTCCTAGAGTTTTCTGGCCAATAAGTCATGGAGGTGGGATTATAACGGTACAAGGCTATCTGGCTCCAAAGTTGGAGGAGATACCAATCAGGAAGGGAAATTGGGAGGGGTGGCAGGATGGACTCGCTGGATGGGTTTCAGAGCTCCATAATGGGACCAGCTATTGACAACAGGCGGGAGGGAGAAGGACCAGAGAAGATTTTGCTCATACAACCAAAAAAGCAAGTGGCCAAATGTCCTCTCCTGCAGCGACTGCTTCTTTGTTCCCCAAAGTCCAACTTGGAGAAACAAGGATCTACATAATGGGGTTATAGACCTTTTACTTTTTCAATTCTTTTTCTCTTATCTGAAAGAAATCCTTTTACCTGAACCATAAAAGAAGATAGCTACAGAAGCAATAAAACTATAATCAAAGAGGTTATAAGACAAAAGGGGCATTATCCATTCATTAAAAAGTAGGTACTGCTTGTTACAAAGTTGAGCAAGAAAGAAAGAGAATATGTGGCGTTCACCTAAATTATTAACTTCATCTGTCAATGCCCTGACATACCTCCTAAGTATTTTCAGGGCATCTATGATTTCATTGTTGCCTAGTTAAGAAAAGTAATCCACTAATAGTCATGGAATTCTTTAAATTCTGCTCAATTTCAAATTACCCTCAGGTATTCCTGGAATATTTGCTACACAGGGAGTCATAAATTGTTAATGGGCATTGTTCACAACTACCAAGATTTAAACAGGTTATTGAATTCCACAGGACGAATGCAGATGGGAGGCCATGTAATGAGTTCTTAACCAATCGATCATTGCGAAGGTTTTCATAACAAATAATGTGAATTAAATCATCAATAATATCACTAAAAGTAACAATTCCACGTATTTATGAGCCTAACATAGAATTTTACACACACAATTGCTACCGTTTCAGTTTCTTGGTAGTGATAGGGACCAGGTAGTTGGAATGTGGGCTCTGATTTAAAAACCATTCACTTTTCCCGGGGTGAACTATTGATCTTGGCTTGATGTGAGTGACAGAAATGTGGGTATTGATTTTTGAATCGGAAACGTTCAAGAGTCACTTTGCACATCTGTGACCAACTTTCAATCCGAATTGGAAGAATTCAAAAGCAGACAACCTGCATTCTGGGAAGGCCCATGGGGGCCTCAAAGGACTCCTTTTCCAAAACCATTTCACCCCTGGCAGTCTGAAATGGCCCTGTTATTCACTCATCTGGTTTAAGGCATTGATGATTTGTGTTAAAATGAAAACAATATAGACAAGGAGTATACATTAAACCATTACTGGGGGAGCAGCAAGGGGCGAGGTAAAGATCACAAGATTAAGGTCCAACTACCTGAGCTTGAATCTCAGTTTTGTCACTTTCCCTCTCAACCTTGGCCAAGTAATGTAACCTGTCTGAACTTCAGTGTTCCTTGTTCACAAGTGGGTTGTTGTGTTGTGTGAGGATTAAATAATGTAAATAAAGTACCCAGCACTGTGCCAGAGCCAAATTAGGAGCTCAAAAAGGAGAAATTATCATTGTTACCAATATTGGTTACCAACACAGCTCCCATTAGTTTTATTAGACTAACTGGCCCATCATCTAGCAGTCATCTAAGGAGTGGGCCAGAAGGTAAGGGAACTTTGACAGGCAGGAAGCTACAAACAGTGTCTAGAGTAGGGATCTGGCCAGAACAGGCAGGCTGGGTCAGAGCATCTCACTTGGGCAGGAGTTTGGGGATCCAGAGGGCACTGAGTAACTGGGACCAGGGAATCATCAGTGTTGAAAAAAAGAAGAAGGTGCAGCCAAGTGGCAACATAACAACAACTGCTTTTATGAAATAAATAGAAGGAATAAACTTGTATCTTCTTACATGAATGGATTTTATAACACCTATTCTGCCCTTTCCTGCTTCCACAGATCCTGATGTGGCCCTACCAATAGAATCCATCAGAAATCCAGAGATACAATGGCCACAAAATGTGATTGACAGCCAGAGAGCCTTATCTTGGATGAGAAAACTGAAGCGTAGAGAGATGAGGTAACTTGATCAAGATCACAGACAGAGCATGTGGTGGAGTTCAGAAGTGAATCAAGGTGGTCTAATGGTGCTATGAAGAGCAGGTTCCCCACAGTCTTTTCTGAATCCTAAACTTTTCCTTTTTTTGGATTAACAAAAGTAAGAATTACAGTTCTGAGAAGTTCCATCTTACAAAGTCGGCAAATTGTCCAAATTATCTTGGTGAATTCCTTTATAGACCTCCATGGCAGAGTTTGAAATACTGAGTCTCTAGTAAGTCCAACATAGCCAATCTTTCCATCCATTGTTGAAAAAGATCATTGTCAAAAGTTCAT